CACTAGTGCTGTACTAGTAACTATTTGGTACGTTCTGTCCACGTGACAAACCTCGCCGATCGGCTGCGTCGGGCGGTGCTGGGTTTAACAACGCACTAACACTATACACTACACTACTATACACTGCACTATACACTACACTATACACTACACACTAGTGCTGTACTAGTAACTCATTGGCACGTTCTGCCCACGTGACAAACCTCGCCGACCGGCTACGTCGCGCGGTGCTGGGTTTAACAATGCACTAACACTATACACTACACTACTATACACTACACTATACACTACACTATACACTACACTATACACTAGTGCTGTACTAGTAACTAATTGGCACGTTCTGTCCACGTGACAAACCTCGCCGACCGGCTGCGTCGGGTGCTGCTGGCTTTAACAACGCACTAACACTATACACTACACTACTATACACTACATCATACACTAAACTACTATACACTACACTATACACTACACTACTATACACTACACTATACACAACACTATACACTACACTATACACTACACTATACACTACACTCTACACTACACTATACACTACACTACTATACACTACACTATACACTACACTATACACTACACTACTATATACTACACTATACACTACACTCTACACTACACTATACACTACACTACAATATACACTACACTACTATACACTACACTATACACTACACTATACACTACACTACTATACACTACACTATACACTACACTATACACTACTATACACTACACTATACACTACACTATACACTATACTATAAACTACTATACACTACACTACTATACACTACACTATACACTACTATACACTACACTATACACTACACTACTATACACTACACTATACACTACACTACTCTACACTACACTATACACTACACTACTATACACTACACTATACACTACACTACTATACACTACACTATACACTACACTACTATACACTACACTATACACTACTATACACTACACTATACACTACACTACTATACACTACACTATACACTACACTATATACTACTATACACTACACTATTATACACTACACTATACACTACACTATTATACACTACACTATACACTACACTATACACTACACTATACACTACTATACACTACACTATACACTACTATACACTACACTATACACTACACTACTATACACTACACTATACACTACACTACTATACACTACACTATACACTACACTACTATACACTACACTATACACTACACTACTATACACTACACTATACACTACACTACTATACACTACACTATACACTACTATACACTACACTATACACTACACTACTATACACTACACTATACACTACACTATACACTACTATACACTACACTATTATACACTACACTATACACTACACTATTATACACTACACTATACACTACACTATACACTACTATACACTACACTATACACTACACTACTATACACTACACTATACACTACACTATACACTACTATACACTACACTATTATACACTACACTATACACTACACTATTATACACTACACTATACACTACACTATACACTACACTATACACTACTATACACTACACTATACACTACACTACACTATACACTACACTATACACTACTATACACTACACTATTATACACTACACTATACACTACACTATTATACACTACACTATACACTACACTATACACTACACTATACACTACTATACACTACGCTATACACTACACTACTATACACTACACTATACACTACACTATACACTACTATACACTACACTATTATACACTACACTATACACTACACTATTATACACTACACTATACACTACACTATACACTACACTATACACTACTATACACTACACTATACACTACACTACTATACACTACTATACACTACTATACACTACACTATACACTACACTATACACTACACTACTATACACTACACTATACACTACACTATACACTACACTATACACTACACTATACACTACACTACTATACATTACACTATACACTACACTACTATACACTACACTATACACTACACTATACACTACACTATACACTACACTGTACACTACACTATACACTACACTACACTACTATACACTACACTATACACTACACTATACACTACACTATACACTACACTATACACTACACTACTATACACTACACTATACACTACACTACTATACACTACACTATACACTACACTATACACTACACTATACACTACACTACTATACACTACACTATACACTACACTACTATACACTACACTACTATACACTACACTATACACTACACTACTATACACTACAATATACACTACACTATACACTACACTATACACTACACTATACACTACACTATACACTACTATACACGACTATACACTACACTATACACTACACTATACACTACTATACACTACACTATACACTACACTATACACTACACTATACACTACACTATACACTACACTATACACTACTATACACTACACTACTATACACTACACTACTATACACTACACTATACACTACACTATACACTACACTATACACTACTATACACTACACTATACACTACTATACACTACACTATACACTACACTACTATACACTACACTATACACTACTATACACTATACACTACACTACTATACACTACACTACTATACACTACACCACTATACACTACACTATACACTACACTATACACTACACTATACACTACACTATACACTACACTCTACACTACTATACCGCTACACTACACTATGCACTACACTCTACACTACTATACCGCTACACTACACTATACACTACACTATACACTACACTATACACTACACTATACACTACACTACTATACACTACACTATACACTACACTATACACTACACTACTATACACTACACTATACACTACACTATACACTACACTATACACTACACTATACACTACACTATACACTACACTACTATACACTACACTATACACTACTATACACTACACTATACACTACACTATACACTACACTATACACTACACTATACACTACACTGTACACTACACTATACACTACACTACACTACTATACACTACACTATACACTACACTATACACTACACTATACACTACACTATACACTACACTATACACTACACTACTATACACTACACTATACACTACACTATACACTACACTACTATACACTACACTATACACTACTATACACTACACTATACACTACACTATACACTACACTATACACTACACTACTATACACTACACTATACACTACTATACACTATACACTACACTACTATACACTACACTACTATACACTACACCACTATACACTACACTATACACTACACTATACACTACACTATACACTACACTATACACTACACTATACACTACACTATACACTACACTGTACACTACACTATACACTACACTACACTACTATACACTACACTATACACTACACTATACACTACACTATACACTACACTATACACTACACTATACACTACACTACTATACACTACACTATACACTACACTACTATACACTACACTACTATACACTACACTATACACTACACTACTATACACTACAATATACACTACACTATACACTACACTATACACTACACTATACACTACACTATACACTACTATACACGACTATACACTACACTATACACTACACTATACACTACTATACACTACACTATACACTACACTATACACTACACTATACACTACACTATACACTACACTATACACTACTATACACTACACTACTATACACTACACTACTATACACTACACTATACACTACACTATACACTACACTATACACTACTATACACTACACTATACATTACTATACACTACACTATACACTACACTACTATACACTACACTATACACTACTATACACTATACACTACACTACTATACACTACACTACTATACACTACACCACTATACACTACACTATACACTACACTATACACTACACTATACACTACACTATACACTACACTCTACACTACTATACCGCTACACTACACTATGCACTACACTCTACACTACTATACCGCTACACTACACTATACACTACACTATACACTACACTATACACTACACTATACACTACACTACTATACACTACACTATACACTACACTATACACTACACTACTATACACTACACTATACACTACTATACACTACACTATACACTACACTATACACTACACTATACACTACACTATACACTACACTATACACTACACTACTATACACTACACTATACACTACTATACACTACACTATACACTACACTATACACTACACTATACACTACACTATACACTACACTATACACTACACTATACACTACACTACACTACTATACACTACACTATACACTACACTATACACTACACTATACACTACACTATACACTACACTATACACTACACTACTATACACTACACTATACACTACACTATACACTACACTACTATACACTACACTATACACTACTATACACTACACTATACACTACACTATACACTACACTATACACTACACTACTATACACTACACTATACACTACTATACACTATACACTACACTACTATACACTACACTACTATACACTACACCACTATACACTACTATACACTACACTATACACTACACTATACACTACACTATACACTACACTACTATACACTACACTATACACTACTATACACTATACACTACACTACTATACACTACACTATACACTACACCACTATACACTACACTATACACTACACTATACACTACACTATACACTACACTATACACTACTACACACAACCTGTCGCGCTTGGCCACCTCTGTCTCCCGCGCGGCCTCCGGCCCCCCCCCCCCCCCCACAGCTGCCGCCCTCCCAGCTGCCCCCGGTGGTCCGCCTCAACGTGGGGGGGCTGCACTTCACCGCGGCGCTCGGCACCCTGCGCAGCGCCCCCGGCTCCCGCCTCAGCGACCTCTTCGGCGAGCCGCCCGGCCGCCCGGCCTCCCCGGGGGAGGCGGCCGCCGCGGCCGCGGCCGCGGCCTGGGAGGGCCGCCAACCGCCCCTGCGGTTGGACGAGGAGGGCCGCGTGTTCCTGGACCGCGACGGCAGGCACTTTGGGCACGTGCTGGCCTTCCTGCGGGAGGGCGCCACGCCGCCGGCCGAGGCCCCCAACGGGCTCCGGGAGGCCCTGGCCGTCCACGCGGAGGCGACGTTCTGGGGCCTGGAGGCCATGGCCAGGGCCCTGGAGGAGGCGCCGGCCCTGTTCGGCGAGATGGTGGCACGGAGGCAGTTCTGCGCGCAGGTGCCCAGCTACCGCGAGAACATCGAGGTGAGGTGGTGGTGGTGGTGGTGAGGTGGTGGGGAGAGGTGGTGGTGGTGGTGATTGAGGTGGTCGTGGTAGTGGGGAGAGGTGGTGGTGGTGGTGGTGGTGGGGAGAGGTGGTAGTGGTGGTGGTGGGGAGGGAGAGGTGGTGGTGGTGGTGATTGAGGTGGTCGTGGTAGTGGGGAGAGGAGGTGGTGGTGGTGGTGGTGGGGAGAGGTGGTGGTGGTGGTGGTGGTGGTGGGGAGAGGTGGTGGTGGTGGGGAGAGGAGAGGTGGTGGTGGTGGTGGTGGTGGGGAGAGGTGGTAGTGGTGGTGGTGGTGGTGTTGGTGGTGGGGAGAGGAGGTGGTGGTGGGGAGGTGAGGTGGTGGTGGTGGTGGTGGTGGTGGGGAGAGGAGGTGGTGGTGGTGGTGGTGGGGAGGTGAGGTGGTGGTGGTGGTGGTGGTGGTGGTCGTGGTGGTGGTGGGGAGAGGAGGTGGTGGTGGAGGTGGTGGTGGTGGGGAGAGGTGGTGGTGGTGGAGGTGGTGGTCGTGGTGGGGAGAGGTGGTGGTGGTGGTGGTGGTCGTGGTGGTGGTGGGGAGAGAAGGTGGTGGTGGAGGTGGTGGTGGTGGTGGTGGTGGGGAGAGGAGGTGGTGGTGGAGGTGGTGGTGGTGGTGATGGGGAGAGGTGGTGGGGAGGGGAGAGGTGGTGGTGGTGGTGGGGAGAGGAGGTGGTGGTGGAGGTGGTGGTGGTGGTGGTGGGGAGAGGAGGTGGTGGTGGAGGTGGTGGTGGTGGTGATGGGGAGAGGTGGTGGGGAGGGGAGAGGTGGTGGTGGTGGTGGTGGTGGGGAGAGGAGGTGGTGGTGGTGGTGGTGATGGGGAGAGGTGTTGGGGAGGGGAGAGGTGGTGGTGGTGGTGGTGGAGGTGGTGGTGGTGGTGGTGGTGGGGAGAGGAGGTGGTGGTGGTGGTTGTGGTGGGTAGAGGTGGTGGGGAGGGGAGAGGTGGTGGTGGTGGTGGGGAGAGGTGGTGGGGAGGGGAGAGGTGGTGGTGGTGGTGGGGAGAGGTGGTGGTGGTGGTGGTGGTAGTGGGGAGAGGTGGAGGAGGTGGTGATGGTAGTGGGGAGGGGAGAGGTGGTGGAGAGGTGTGGATGTGGTGAGGAGGAAGAGGATGGGGAGGAGGATGGGAAGGAGGTGGAGGATGGAGGTGGTGGTGGTGAGAGGTGGTAGTGAGTTGTTGGAGAGAGAAGAGAGTTGAGGATGGTAGGTGAGAGGAGGAGGAGGAGGTGGTGGAACGAGGTGGGCATGGTGAGGAAAAGCAGGAGATGAGAATGGTGGGAGGAAGGTGAGCACGTCCAGAGAGGAGGTGAGGAGTGAGGATGGTGGTGGGGGGAGGTGAGGTGGGGAGTGGAGGGAGAGGTGGAATGAGGTGGGAAGATGATGAGGATGAGAAAGAGGAGGATGGAGGGAGACAGGGAAGTGAGTGGCTCTTAGATTGTTGCAAAACTTTGCGATACACCACACGGCATCAGCATCATCTGAGTGAATAATCAAAGCATTGCCATCATGATCATCATCACAATGTTCAACACCACGCTCGTCACGATCACCACCACGATCACCACCACGATCATCACCGCGATCATCACCACGATCGTCATAATTACCACAATCATCACCATGATGATCATCATCAGCACAATCATCACCATGATGATCATCGTCAGCACAATCATTCTCACCATCACCGTGATCATCACCACGATCATCACCACGATCGTCATAATTACCACAATCATCACCATGATGCTCATCGTCAGCACAATCATTCTCACCATCGATAAGATAATTATTTTTTTACCCTTTTATCTGGCAACAAAACTGACACCTTTTTTTAAATAAGGAGTCATGTTTACATTGACCACAATGCCTGCGGTCGGAACGCAAACTCACCACCACGATCGTCACCGCGATCGTCACAATTACCACAATCGTCACCATGATGATCATCGTCAGCACAATCACCGTGATCCGCAGATCATGATCCGCGTGGCTCGCGCCGAGGCCCTGGCATCCCGGGTATCCCGAGTTCTGGTCCACGTGAACAAGAGCTCCGAACACGAGCTCCACGACCACCACCACCACCACCACGATGGGGGTGCCAGGCGCGCACACGCTTGCTCTCTCCACGGGGAGCAGTACCTCGTCAACTTCGGACCCTGGAGTGTAGAGCCTGGGGTTCGGGACCTCCTCGATTGTGTCAAGGTGCCCGTGTGTTGTGTCTGCCGATGTGACTCACCCATGCGTCTCCTCGATGTCTTCTCACCGCGTGTGTCCACGTGTCTCCCCACGTGTCTCTCCACGTGTCTCCCCACGTGTCCCCCCACGTGTCTTCCCACGCGTCCGCACGTGTCCACGTGTGTCTCCACGTGGCGCCGCGTGTAACCAAGTGTCCCCCCGACGTGTCTCCCCCCCCCCCCCCCCCACGTGTCTCCCCCCCATGTGTCCTCTACGTGTGTCAGCGTGTATCCCCACGTTTCCCAGTGTCCCCCCACGTGTCCCCCACGTGTCCCCCCACGTCTCCCCACGTGACCCCCCCACGTGTCTCCCCACGTGACCCCCCACGTGTCCCCCCACGTGTCCCCCCACGTGTCTCCCCACGTGTCCACCTACGTGTCTCCCCACGTGACCCCCCACATGTCTCCCCACTTGTCCACCCACGTGTCTCCCCACGTGTCTCTCCACGTGTCCACCCACGTGTCCCCCCACGTGTCTCCCCACGTGTCCCCCCATGCCTCTCCCCACGTATCCCCCACGTGTCCCCCACGTGTCCCCCCACATCTCCCGCACGTGTTCCCCCAAATGTCCCCCCACGTGTCTCCCCACGTGTCCACCCACGTGTCCACCCACATGTCTCCCCACTTGTCCACCCACGTGTCTCCCCACGTGTCTCCCCACGTGTCCACCCACGTGTCCCCCCACGTGTCTCCCCACGTGTCCCCCCATGCCTCTCCCCACGTATCCCCCACGTGTCCCCCACGTGTCCCCCCACATCTCCCGCACGTGTTCCCCCAAATGTCCCCCCACGTGTCTCCCCACGTGTCCCCCCACGTGTCCCCCCACGTCTCCCCACGTGACCCCCCACGTGTCTCCTCACGTGTCCCCCCACGTGTCTCCCCACGTGTCCCCCCACGTGTCCCCCCATGCCTCTCCCCACGTGACCCCCCACGTGTCCCCCCACGTGTCCTCCCAAATGTCCCCCCACGTGTCTCCCCACGTGTCCACCCACGTGTCCACCCACGTGTCTCCCCACGTGTCCACCCACGTGTCCACCCACGTGTCTCCCCACGTGTCCACCCACGTGTCCACCCACGTGTCTCCCCACGTGTCTCCCCACGTGTCCACCCACGTGTCTCCCCACGTGTCCACCCACGTGTCTCCCCACGTATCTCCCCACGTGTCCACCCACGTGTCCACCAACGTGTCTCCCCACGTGTCTCCCCACGTGTCCACCCCCGTGTCTCTCCACGTGTCTCCCCCCCCACTCCCCCCCCCCCCGTCTACCCCACAGGTGGACGTGGAGGCACTGGGCTACCGCGTCACCTGGGAGGAGCGGCTGCCCCCACCGGGAGAGGGGGGTGGCGACCGGGGGGCGGGGCTCGCTGGGCTCTTCCGCGGGCCCCCGGCTCCCCCCCCATCCTGCGGCCTCTACGAGTTCCTCTTCCACTGGTGGTGACCTCGGTGGGGGGCTCGTGGGGGGGGGGGGAGGGGGGGCGGAGAGATTTCGGGGGAGTGGGGGGGGGCAAGGTCAAAAGGTGCCCCTAGGCTAGACCCACACAGCAGCAGCAACAATCATCGATTTCCTTATTGGCAGCAGACTAAAGCACAGGGACAGCTGCCACTGGGGGTACCCCTAGGCGAGACCCACACAGCAGCCAATCACCGCCCACCTACTGGCAACAGACCGATGCCCTTCCTCCCAGATCACTCCTGCGAATGAGACGCCCATCCTGTCCTCTCGCCTCGCTAAACATCAACCTGCACTCCTGATGATCATGATGATCATGATGATGATGATATTCATATTCTTGGTTCTTTCGGTAAAGTCACGTTGAAGGAAAACAATGAACTAATACAATATATATGACTTTACCGAAAGAACCAACAATATGAATCACTGCAGTCACGAAAGCTTTAAATCAGAAGATGATGATGATGTTGTTGATGACGGGCAAAGCTGCCACGCACTCGGATTTGAACTCGGCTCTTGCAGCTGCGAGGGCAGTTCGTGGTGGCGAGATGCGACCTTCCCACGACCTTCCCACGCCCACGAGGAAGATCCTCTGGCGGCTGTGCACTTTCAAATCGAGATTGAAAACTCGTTTCTTTAGGACCGCTTTGTTTTCGACTTGAGACTTTCGTGACTGAAAGGGAATCCATACGCCACGGTTCTTTCGGTAAAGTCACGTGGATAGAAAATAATGATAATAATAATAACACTCGAATAATACAAATGAAGTGAATAATAATAATAAACAATAAATATTTTTAAAAAAATATCACGACGTTTCGATGGCAACATGGGCGGTCGTCATCAGGAAGGACCGCTCGTGTTGCCATAGAAACGTCGTGATGTTTGTATTATGTTTTTAATTCACTTTATTTGCATCATTTGATTATTGTTATTATTATTCTTATTATTTCGTCTCCTATCTGCGTGACGTTACCGAAAGAACCACAGCATATGGACTGCGTTGTTTACGTTGCTGTCCTTTCCCCCAGGCCTCCGGTTAGCCGCGGTTGGCTACGTACGGTGTGGAAGAAATAGTTCGGTAGACGCGGACACGCAGGAGGCACGTGGGTTCAACCCTCACACGCGACGCCTCCTGCTGAGGATCTGGAGTTCGCGCGCGTGGATTCGCCTCCAGAGCCCTCCCGGTTTATCCCCTCTCCACATTCAGAATCGACGTCGCCACGGCGCTGAGAATAGTTTGGCGACTGCTATGAATTTCCACGCGGCGACGATGATGATGACGATGATGATGATGACGATGACGATGATGACGATGACGATGATGACGATGATGATGACGATGATGATGATGACGACGATGACGACGACGATGACGATGATGATGACGATGATGACGATGATGATGATGATGACGACGACGATGATGATGACGATGACGATGACGACGACGACGATGACGACGACGACGATGACGACGATGACGATGATGACGATGATGATGACGATGACGATGACGACGACGACGATGATGATGACGATGATGATGATGATCTTCTTTGGTTCTTTCGGTAAAGTCACCACGTAGAATGAGAATAAAATAATAAATTGATAAAATAAAATAACACAATAATATTCTCACGACGTTTCGGCCACAACACGAGCGGCCTTCATCAGGTGAAGGGACGAGACTGTCTGGAGGACAGCGCTGTCCTCCAGACAGTGTGGCCGAAACGTCGTGAGAATATTATTGTGTTATTTTATTTTATCAATTTATTATTTTATTCTCATTCAACGTGACTTTACCGAAAGAACCAAAGAAGATGAATCCTTGCAGTCACGAAAGCTTTAAATCGAAAGATGATGATGACGATGACGACGCTGATGACGATGATGATGATGATGACGACGATGACGACGATGACGACGACGATCACGACGATGATGATGAAGATGACGACGATGACGACGACAACGATGACGACGATGATGACGAAAATATATCCACGAGACCACGGGGAGAGAGAGAGAGAGAGACGCAGACTCCAAATGTACAGCAGCAGGCATTGTCAGGGTCGGGATCGAACCCACGACCTCCTGCACACCAGGCGAGGTAATTAACATCTCACCTAGCCACCGTGGCTTCACACGGAGCACCCCGTCTCGCTGGAGGATGGTAAAGAATCATAAGCTATCGACGAATGGATAAGTTATTACACTTTGTGGGCACTTTGCAGATTGATATTTAACGCAATCCACACCCGGGTGTTTCGTCCACAAGGCTTTGGTTTGGTTTTCTTGGGGGTTAGATCGCGTACACACACATATATATGAATGTGTCGTGAAGCCCGCCACCACCCGACACGGCTTATTACTTAAGGGATGTGTCCGGTGAAAGTAAAACGCCCCGGTTCGCTACGAGTTCAGCACGAACCCGTGTTTGCTGGAGACTTAAACCACACAACGTTTCCAATTCGTGTGCTGTGGCGTTCTCGCTTGTTGAATATTACAAACAACAAGCCCAACAACCAGCTTCATGCATGAGGCGTTTGTGAATAAACGCTTTGGGGGGTGTGGTGGTGGTGTAAAAATCCTCTACGGAGTCCCGAGACCTTGCTTACTAGATGGGGGTGGGGGGCTGCGACACGTGACGAGTTGCTCCCCACAAGTCACAGCCCCACTCCTCACGTGAAACATTCTGGCTCCACGTGGGAGACACCTGGAGGACTCCCACGCCACACCCCCCTCGCCCCTCCCCCCCCCCACTTACCCTCGCCACCCCCCACACCCCCCACCGTCAACCCCCCCACCACTTACCCTCGCCCCTCCCCCCCTTCCCCTCGCCACCCCCCACACTCCCCCCCCCGTAACCCCCCCCTTCCCCTCGCCACCCCCCACTCCCCCCACTCCTCGTCACTCCCAACACTCCCCCCCACGCCCCCCCACGCCCCCCCCCACTTCCCCACTCTACCCCCCCCCCATTCTCCTCCCCCTCACCACCCCCCACACTCCACCCCCACCCCCGTCACCATTCCCCCGCTACCGTCACCCCCCCTCCCCCGCCCCCACTGTGTGCATTGCCATGAAATGAAATATATAGTAGGCGACGTTTCGGGCAATGGCCCACACTGCAGCAATCATCGCCCCCTTACAGGCGGACTAACGCGCAGAGACAGCTGCCACTGGGGGTGCCCCTAGGCTAGACCCACACACAGCAACAACCAGCACCCACCTACTGCCAGACTAATAACCACACAGAGACAGCTGCCACTGGGGGTGCCCCTAGGCTAGACCCACACACAGCAACAACCATCACCCACCTACTGCCAGACTAATAACCACACAGGGACAGCTGCCACTGGGGGCGCCCCTAGGCTAGACCCACGCACAGCAGAACTCATCGCTCCCCTACAGGCAGCAGACTGACGCGCAGAGACAGCTACCACTGGGGGTGCCCCTAGGCTAGACCCACACACAGCGGTAATCATCGCTACCCTACAGGCAGCAGACTGACGCACAGAGACAGCTGCCACTGGGGGTGCCCCTAGGCTAGACCCACACACAGCAGGAATCATCACCCACCTACTGCCAGACTAATAACCACACAGGGACAGCTGCCACTGGGGGTGCCCCTAGGCTAGACCCACGCACAGCAGAACTCATCGCTACCCTACAGGCAGCAGACTGACGCGCAGGGACAGCTGGCACTGGGGGTGCCCCTAGGCTAGACCCACACACAGCAGCAGTCATCGCTACCCTACAGGCAGCAGACGAACGCGCAGGGACAGCTGCCACTGGGGGTGCCCCTAGGCTAGACCCACACACAGCAGAACTCATCGCTCCCCTACAGGCAGCAGACTGACGCGCAGGGACAGCTGCCACTGGGGGTGCCCCCTCCCCGGGCGACGTGAACGGCGGCTTTCGAGAGCAAAAAATTCCACCCCTCCCTCCCTCCCTCCCCCCCCCGCCAACCATTTAACATCGTGGCCCCAAAGTCAGAAGGAGGCTCAGCGAGGGGGAGAGGGGGGTGGCGATGGCCGGAACATCGCTCCTGAGAGCCCTGGAGGGGCCTCGACAGGGCCAGGCAGAGGACGAATTTGGTGGCCCACGTGGGCGGGAGAGGCCTCCCCTTGGGCCTGGCTGAAGAGGGGGCAGAGCGGGCAAGCAGACGGCAGGAGAGAGGCAAGGGGCTGGGTTGAGTTGGGAGGAGGTGGTGGAGGTGGTGGAGGTGGTTGTGGTGGTGGGGTCCAGGACGCTGGTTCGAGCGTTGAGCAGTATCGGACGAAGCTCGTGGAGAGGGGAGTCTGTAGCACATGTGATGAAGTTGCCCCTAATAAAAATAACACAAAGATTCTAAAAGCTGTTTTTTTTTTACTTGCACAGTAAAGTAATTGTATTTTTTTTTTTAAATTTGCTATGCAGCCAGATAATTCGACAAATCGCTAACCTTAAACGCCAGGTCGTTCACGCAAGTTGAAGGCGGTGTAGTACTATAGCAATAGCGCTTGTGCAGAAACGCTGAACCGGAATTGATAGCTTGAAAGCGTTCAGCGCGATGCCCTTGAAAGTGGGGGGGGGGGGGGGGGGGGGACCCGTAGCTTAAAGTTTCAAGTTTTCAACTTTCATGTATTAGGTATAGCCCTGTGAGCCATGCGGCTCTTAAGTCGGGTGCAACCGCAGAAAACTATTACACCACCACCAGACCAAAATAAAGCTACAAAAAAACTATTTAAAAATGTAAAGAAAATTTACTCCTAAGTCGAACGATTCAATTCGTTATTATGTGTTTTAAAAACAAAGGCAACTGCAATCTTTTTTTTTTAAAGTCCTAAATTCATTAAAAAAAAAATTCGTTGCATCATTCGTTCATGTTGATGGTAGTCAGTTTAAACGTAAAAAATTACCAAATATCCCGATGTGATTTGTTGAAATAAATATAACCCTGTGTCCTGACTTTTGGGCCACCCTGTATATATGTTTTTTTACCTAATTAATTTTCGATTTAAAGCTTTCGTGACTGCAAGGATTCATCTTCTTTGGTTCTTTCGGTAAAGTCACCACGTAGAATGAGAATAAAATAATAAATAAATAAATATAACACAATAAAATTCTCACGACGTTTCGGCCACAACACAAGCGGCCTTCATCAGGTGAAGGGACGAGACTGTCGGGACGACAGAGCTTCATCTCAAAAAGGCCGCTTGTGTTGTGGCCGAAACGTCGTGAGAATTTTGTTGTGATATTTTATTTTATTAATTTATTATTTTATTCTCATTCTACGTGACTTTACTTAATGAATATTTCTGTTTCGCGAAAACCCTGCATTCTTTGGGATTTTTTTGTGCAAAGCGCCACGCGATCCACCAAACTGTTTCT